GGTTTGTATACCACTTGCTATCTATCGATACAAATGATTAATAAATAGTGTTTATAACAGCAATAAATTATTTAAACTTTTTATTGACTCTTACTTTACTTTTACCATCAAGTGATTTATTTCGAGTAACTATTAGAATACAAATATATTTTTCTTATTTACATATATCTTATGATTTAGTTTTTCGGAAATCTTTTTCCTGTCATTTACATTTACATAAAATATATCCAGTACATTCAAATCTTGGTGAATTATTAAAATTAATAAACTATTATATGATTGCAATACAGATGGTTGACGTCGATAACAACGATGGCTATGAGTTGATTGAAGAGACCATTCAATCGGATGCAACATTTCGTTCAACGATTTCAATTAGAAAATCAAAATTAGTGAGTATTTTGTTTATAATATCTATCGATATCCTGATAATTTTAATTACAAAACGTAAAGTGTTTAAAATATCAGTTTTATAATATTTCTTAACTCTTTTTTAATTGCATTTTTTAGTTTAGAAATAAGTGCTTTCCTATAATTTGCATAAAATATCTTCAATTTTAAAATATCTCATAGAAATTAATTTACTAAATTAATTATATATTTTGTTAATAAAACATTTTGATTTTTTCACTCAAATTAAAACCCACATTAACACTTTGGTATTAATTAAATGTGTTATATTTTATCGATTATCTTTTATTTTTCTATCGTCTCCCAAATTTATCTATATATAGATCGATATTTTAAAACTTATATTTATTGTGTATAGAAGTGAAATCTTTTAAAAATAACAAAACCAACCAATTTTTAATTACTAGTCGAGAGTTTCTTATTTAGTATAAAGTCTCACGATTTTTAAAATTAAAAATAATGGCTATTATGTATTAATTCTTTACATTACACAACATCTGTAAATAAAATTAATCACTGATTAAGACTCCTAACTATAGACTACAGTTTTGCAATGTTAGTTGATTTGGATTTTATGTTTATTTTTTATATAAATTTATTTTAGGTGCTAATCAAAGTCTTAATTAAAATGAGAGCATAAAAGATATTTAATGATATTATGACTAAAATTTGCATTCAGTACTTAAGATATATTGAATACATGTATTCTCTATGAGGCGGTGATTTTGGGATAAACTCTGAGAACAGTTAACAAATTATTATTAAATTTTGTCACGAAATGTATCACAAAAACATAAAACCATTTTCAGGTCATGTCCTGAAAGTTCTCCCTTTAAATACATGTGCTGTCAATCAATTGATTAATAGTGAAATAATTAAATACTTATACCTAACATATAGAAACCGTTTATATAACCCGCGAATGTAAATGTTTTCGCATTAAATATCTAAATATAAAGTAACTTAATATTTAAAAATGAGTTTCGATAGGAAACTAAATCTTAAATAATTGTTTTAAAGTATTGAGATTCACGTTTGATATGATAACAACGTTTTACATATAATACTAGCCTTTGGTTCGGGTGCTCCCGGTCATATAATTTTATATCTCTTTATCTCATATATAATTACTTATAAGGATAGTAAATGGAGACTTTAATTACATTTGTATTTTATTTGAATTATAATATCTCGTAGGATATTAGTCGTGATATTAATATTGAGTCTTAAATTGTTATTTGTAGTTACAAATATTATTAAATACATAAAGGGTTAAAATTTGTTATAACTTAATTTTTTCATATGATTTATAAGTTTTTTTTAATAATTACTGTTTGTTTGGAGAGAAAAGTACATTTTTCTAAGTGCTTTTGAAAACTTTATTATAGTTGAAAACCACTTAAAAAAGTTTTTTTGAAAATTTAGAGCATTTTTAAATTTATTAATCATTAATTAAAATCATTTCAATTATCGATAAATTTCTCAATAAAATCAACACAAATGTCATTCATTTATTAAAAAGTTAAATAATCTACTTATAAATGGGGACAAATATTTAGGAAAATAAAAGTGTTTATATGTTTTACGTGTAATTTAATCGCAAAATATTTTGACAAATAATCTTATATAAAGTTGATTTTTGATTATACAGTATATATATAAATTAGAGCTCATTAACAGCAACCACTAAATCTTTTAAGCGTTTTTCTAAAATACTTATTTAAAATCTTACAATTAATTTATGAATACATTTTGAACCACTTTACGACTTGTCGTTAAAATCAAATATTGAATTTATTAAAATTTATGAAATAATAAAAAATGTCATTTTATTTTCACAGTCCGACTTCGGTTCATACAACTGTTCCGTTTGGAATGAATTCGGTTTCGACTCAAAGATCATTACTTTAGTCCAGGAGTGTATGTATCCATACAATCATGAGATTCACTATTAATTACACAATTGTTTTCGTTTTTTATTTACAAATAATATGTGAGAATATATTGTGAGAAAAGCTTTTTGTTTCACTCGCGCAGTAAATATTGATTTAATTTATATATAGATTTAGATTAAAGGATATAATCAGATAATAATCGTAAGAAGGATTGCGTTATTCCGTGTCTAATATACCGGTGCAGGGCTTAGGCTGGGAGTGGGGATAGGGCTGCGAAAATGGGAGAGTACACCAGTTCTGTAGTGAAAACTTATCTCATATAACATCTCTATTCAAATAATATTAATATTTTATTCATTCTATTGATTGAAAACATTTTTTCTTAATATCTATTGAGTAATCAATGAATTTATATTAATGTTGAAATTGATTTCTGATAAAAAATTATCTAATATTTTGGTTTCAATTAGAGATTTTAGAAAGCGAATATTTCTGACATAACTTGAATTTAATTATTATACAAATCCATTATTTATCAGTAATTAGGGGATGAATTATATTTTCAATTTGGTTATAAAAACTCATAAATTGTTTTGACTTTTAAATCTATTAATAATGAATATAATGATATAGTAGAAAGTATTGGAGTTACAATAATGACATTTATTACATATTGATTAACAGCAAACTTTTCACCACTGGTCCTATCGATCGGAATAATAATCTGCGGAATTGTATTCATAATCGCCTCAACAATAATCATAATCTTATGTCTCAAACGTAAGAATAAGTTCGTCGACAACGAGAGCTATGGGAGTGACCTGAAAAAGGGTCAGGTGTTGGCCAATAACACGGCTAATGGCAAACACCACCACAACGTACTAGACTCGGGCAGCTCTGGCGCCGATTCCGACATCAAAGTGGAGGTGCGAACGGCCAGTTCGTTATCACAGCAATGGGATGAGAATGACCACCAAACCAATGAACAGACTGTCCATAAAGATATAGCATCCCAAGTAGTGGAGAATATTTATAGTTATAATAACAACCCGTCCCAACCCATTGTCTTCCCCTCCATTCATGTATGCATTTTATGATTTTGTTTTTGCTTTCATTTATTTCATTAGTAGTGCCCCCAAAACACCCACTTCTGTGTCACTCACTATTCAAACCCCATTCAGACATTCAATTTATGACAGAATAGAGAATAATTTAATTAATCTTTTTCTGCTCAGAATTCAAATGGTTTTATACCGACTTATGTGGACTACAGTCACGACTACCTACTGGTGCCATCAGCACAACTGCCATCCAATCACAACGGCTTATCGCCAAACCATACTCAACACGCGTCCATAATTATCTCATCGGTGGACAACCAGAGGGCCAGTTATGCAATAGAGCCCACGTATGGCACACTCGTCGGCGACCAGAGGTATCGACCGGTCGGTTACGCGAACCCATACCTCCGGACATCCAATTCCTCATCAGTTGTGACCACAAACAGTGATAATAATAACACAAACAATCAATTGTCTGCCGGAATGTATAGCGCCAACCAAAGGTATATCACAAACAATGGACACACCGGCCAGTCGTCACAAAATAACCAATTGGCGACACATGTCTAAGACATACCAGTGCTATAGTGTTGTGCTTTTAGTGAAACATTTAAGACAATTATGTGTAAATAATAGCGACAATTATATAATAATTTATAATAAGAAACATTTGAAATATTTGTAAAAAACTATTTTAACAAATATTAAGTGTTTTATTCATTATTCTGTTCATTAAATAATATATAATTTCATTTCATTTTCCATTTCCTCATTATTTTTGATGCCATATATTATTATAACGTTTTAATTAATAAAATGTTTTGTTTCTATATTAATATAAAATTTGTGAATTTTGTTTACTCAATAACATTTGCAAATATTTTTATCTCTTTTATAGATTTTAATTACATTTGAAATACATTAAACACAAAACACTGTGTAAAACATTTTTCCACAATATAAGGCATACATTATTATTATTGAAAAGCAATAAAACATAATAATTAAAGTCATATATTAATTGCTCACCAAATAAATAGTTTTCAATCATTAAAAGTTTTTAAAAATAACAAACTTCTTATGTAATTAAGAAATAAATATCAAAATTAAAACACAAAAAATAGTTTGATTTAAAATTTTGAAAAACAAAAATCATTGCAAAATTAAACTATTCGTTGCCTTTAATAATACTGTTAAATATAATTTGTATAAATATTGTAAAATAAAATACCGAGACAAGATTTTTTTGTATTATATAATAATGTTATTTGCTATTTGAATGTATATTAAACTGAATTTTATATTAAATAATAAAAACATTTTTAAAACAAATTATTTTGTGTTTTCTTTATACCGGTAAGATTATGTCATAAATATTATTTCATTAATTCACTATGAAACTAATTAAAAATTTATTTAAAAATTACTATAGTACATAATTTCTATAATAATTCGAGTAATTAATCTAGCTTATGATTACATATAATTAAGAAATATCTGCAATAAGTATTTAAAAATTAAAAACTTCTAAATGAGTTTTAAATTATTGATATAAGTGTCTGTATAATCTTATGAATATGAAGTTCATATATGATACTTGTTGGTGACATATAGCCTGGTAGCTTGATACCTGCTAATCCTTACTTATTTTGTATATAATTGCCAACTAAAAAATTTATTACTGAAAGTTATAGTTGCTTTATTAATTAGTGTCATTCCAGGACTTAATTTTTAAATTAAAATATTTAATAATGTTAAATGTTAGCCGATTTTTAAATTAATTTATAATTATTAAAATATAGTATCACCATTTTACAGTACAAATACCGTATTCTGTTAGACTAATATTTAATATATTTTACTCTGTTATTTGTATAATTTCTAACAAATGATATTTCTATAGTATCTACAATTGAAAACTATAGTAAATTGAATATCATGTTTGTTGAAACTTTGATTTTTAATAAATTAAAAACTAAATAAATTTTTTATACTTTACCTTTTCAGGTGACATGAAAATACGTTAACTTATTTATCATACACACAACTAAAAATTATCTGGATATTTGGTCTCTGTTATAATAATACTGTTATGAAAATCTATCATGAAAATAGTTCCACACTGACAAATGCTCAAGTAAATAATTTAACATCTTATTTATAAAAAGCTTCTTTATTAATATAATACTTAAGTAAAAATACATTTAATATTAAATTTGTTAATATATTTACAGAATTACAAAAAAATTTAATAGAAATTATTTACAATTTATACATTTTATTAGTAGTTTATACAAATAATATTTATACTAAAGGCAACAGTTTTGGTATATTTTGATATTTTTGTTTCTTAATTATTAAGAAGTTTTGTTAATTAAGAGATTGTGTATTGTGAGCAATTATAATGACTTTATTTATACAATTATAGATTTATTTGATTTTATCAATCATTTCAAACTTTTTTTATAACAAAAATGTTATAAACTAACTAATTTGCTATAACTTTATAAATAATAAATTTCATAGTTAATACATATAGCAAAAAACATTCAAATAAATGTTTTAAAAATTCATAAAAATATTTATAAAATGTTAATTCACATTGATACTGTATATAAGTTTGAGACATACATATAATTTATAAAAAGTTATATAAGAACTGCACAACACTATAGCACTGGTATGTCTTAGACATGTGTCGCCAATTGATTATTTTGAGACGACTGGCCGGTGTGTCCATTGTTTGTGATATACCTTTGGTTGGCGCTATACATTCCGGCAGACAATTGATTGTTTGTGTTATTATTATCACTGTTTGTGGTCACAAATGATGAGGAATTGGATGTCCGGAGGTATGGGTTCGCGTAACCGACCGGTCGGTACCTCTGGTCGCTGCCGAGTGTGCCATACGTGGGCTCTATTGCATAACTGGCCCTCTGGTTGTCCACCGATGAGATAATTATCGCCGCGTGTTGGCTATGGTTTGGCGATAAACTGTTGCGAGTGGATGGCACTTGTGCTGATGGCACCAGTAGGTAGTCGTGACTGTAGTCCACATAAGTCGGTATAAAACCATTTGAATTCTGACCACAAAACAGAAAAAATAAATTAATGAATAAAATGTTAGTTTTAATACAAATTACTTGAATTGAAGGGAAAACGAAAGGCTGAGCCGCACTGTTAGCCTTATTATAAATATTATTCAACTCTTGTGCGATATTTTTGCGGTCATTTCGTTCATTGCAGTGATGGTCGGTGTCGTCCAACTGTTGCGACAGTGAACTGGTTGTCCGCACCTCCATCTTAATGTCTGAGTCGGTGCGAGAACTGCCAGAACTTGCCGAACCTATTACTAAATTATTCGGCTTTCCGTTGGCCGTGGAGTTAATGTCGACCGACAGAGTCTGACCTAATTTGAGGTCAAAAAACTTATTCTTGTGTTTAAACCATAGGATTATGATTATTGTGGAGACGATTATGAAAACAATTCCGCAGATTATTATTCCCACGGATAATAAAAGTGGCGAAAAGTTGGCTATAAATAAAAAATCAACAAAATTAGTAATGAATTTTAAAAATACAATTTAAAATACAATCAATTCTTTCATCAATTGATAAATTATGGATTTGTGTATTAATTAAATTCAAATTATATCAAAACATTATTATTTAATCTCTAATCGAAACCAAAGTTTTAGATAAGATTTTTAATCAAAAATTAATTTTCAGATTAATGTATAAACTCATTGATTACTCACTAGATATTAAGAAAATTTGTTTCAATCAATAAAATATTAATATTCTTTGAATAGAGATATTATTTGAGATAAGTTTCACTACAGACTCCTGTATTTTCACTTTCACATCCCTATCCCTTTCCTAAGCCCTGCACCAGTATATTAGACACGGAATAACGCAATCCTTCTTAAGATTATTATCTGATTTTCTACGTTAATCTAAATCTATACATAATTTAAATCAATTTTTTGTTTGGAAAACTTTCTCACAGTAAATTGCCAATGTATTGGACATAAATTGGTTTTGGATGTAAATCTCATGAAAATACATACATTTCTGAACTAAAGTTATAATCTTTGAGTCGAAACCGAATTCATTCCAAACGGAACAGTTGTATGAACCGAAGTCAGACTGTAATGAAAAATAACACATTTGTTAGAAATTGTTTGTAACACTTTTCATATGTTTATTAATTATTGTGTAAATAATTGCCTCCGAAATGTGTATTAAGTTAATGTTTGTTTGAAAATTTTTATTGTTTATCGATAATTCTGTTGTAAATATCTATTCATCATATTTTTATGACATTTTAATTATTTGCCAAAATATAATGATTCAGATAATTATAAAGTATTATCTTAATATTTTAATTATAATGTTAATCTTAAATATTGTGTTGCGGTTACCTAATGAGACCCAAATACTATTATAAATCCAATAAACATTATTAGTTAAATATACGAAGATTTTATAATTATATGACGTTAATATTAAAAATTTATTCATTAATTAGGTCTTATTAAGACTTATATTAAGATTATAAACTAATATAAATAAATTAGAATTAAATTGATATAATATCTTAATTTTAAAAAATTTATTTTTATTACAGTAGCAATTTATAAACAAAGTATTTAGTTTCAAAGTATGAGACGTTAATAATGAGACTAATCAGATTTAAATTGTATGGCTAATTGACAACTACTCACATATTTTCTAAAAAATTTATTTTTATTACAGTAGCAATTTATAAACAAAGTATTTAGTTTCAAAGTATGAGACGTTAATAATGAGACTAATCAGATTTAAATTGTATGGCTAATTGACAACTACTCACATATTTTCAATATTCAATTCGCTTGATTTTAAATTAAAAATTAATATATTTTAGATAAATATCATAACTAATATCATTGGAAACATTTTAATGTAATATAAGATATGAGATGTAATTAAATCCCACTTTAGAGTAATTATAATGAGATAAAGAGATTTAGTTATATCCTCAGAGCACTATAGATAAGGCAAACGTACAAATCAAACATCAATCTCTAAACTTAGGCTATATTTTGTATCACTTTTTTCAAATCAAACATAATTACATAAACGTAATAATTTTTAAATATTAAATTACATTATGTTTAAGCATTTAATGTGAAAACATTAACAAAGAGTTATATAAAGTGTTTCATATATTATGTATAAGTAATATAATATATTTAATTATTTAACTATTAATCAATTGATTGACAGCACTGGTATTTAAAGGGATAGCTTTCAGGACATGACCTGAAAATGGTTTTATATTTTTGTGATAAATTTCGTGACAAAATTTAATAATAAATTTTTTTCGCAACTGTGCCTATAGTTTATCCGAAAATCATTCTCTCATAGAAAATACATGTGTTTCTCAGTATCGAAGGGAAAATAGATTTTAAATATTAAATTAGTTTTCTTTGCTCTCATTTTAATTAAAACCTTTGATTATCACATAATATATAATATTATGAAAAAATAAACATCACATGGACTTCGCATTTAAAACTATAGCGTAATCTCAAACAAATGATTAATTAGTTTATAAAATGTAACGCAAAGTAATTTAATGTATGAATACTTTGATTCACTTTATATTTAGTGGTTTAGTCGTGAGACTCAATATCGGGGACTGAGTCTCGACCAGTAATTAACGATTAGTTTTGTTTTATTTTTTCAACGATTTCTCTTACAAACACTTTTGATATGACTATAAAATTATTGATCTATTTATAGATAATAAGAGGGATGGGATGCCGAGAGAAAACTACAGACAATCGATAAAAACATATAATTTAATTGAGACTAAAAGTGCTAATTTTAAAAGAAAACCTAATTTTTCAAATCACATTATACCCCTTTCTTATATGTTTGAAAATATTTTTAATAAAAAATCTTAATTTAGTGAACAGTACTTAAATTATATGAATTTCTAAGTTATAATTAAATTANAATCGATAAAAACATATAATTTAATTGAGACTAAAAGTGCTAATTTTAAAAGAAAACCTAATTTTTCAAATCACATTATACCCCTTTCTTATATGTTTGAAAATATTTTTAATAAAAAATCTTAATTTAGTGAACAGTACTTAAATTATATGAATTTCTAAGTTATAATTAAATTAATAATTTTGTAGACAAATGGAAATTATAAATGCAACTTGAAATATTATAGATTCATAGGATATCACGAAAATCAGCTTTTGTTTTTAAAATTCTTATTTTTAAACTACTTATGAAAATAATTACAAAATATCGATAAAATATATTTCAACATCAAATGTCTCAGATATTTAAAATAAAGAAATTATAAAGAATAAGTTTTCTATTTTTGAACTAAATTTAGTCAATTAGTGGATAACTCAAATATTATACTTTAAAAATCAATTCTATAGATATTTTGAAAAATTAAGAAATTAAACAATTCAACGTTAAATGATAGCTCTTTCCTAGTACTGTATGACAGAATGTGATAAATGGTAAAATGACAGACATTAGGATATTTAATCAAGTATAAATTAAAATGAATAAAACACTCACTTGTTTAGTATTTCTGATGGCAATAACAGATCTAAATGTGGAGTCATTTCCATGAATAGGCTCTTCAATCAATTCATATCCCTCATCATTGTCGATGTCTACCAACTGTTATACAAAATACATTTAAATTTTAAATTACAAATTAAACAAATTGAACATACAAAGAAATGTCAAATATTTGGAAATAGACAACTTTGGATTTATCATTTTTGGTCAAAACAAATTAATTGTAAAGCTTTTTATAGCACTCGAAATAAATCAGTTGATAATAAAAGCAAAGTAAGAGTCAATAAAAAAGTTTAAATAATTTATTGCTGTTATAAACACTATTTATTAATCATTTGTATCGATAGATAGCAAGTGGTATACAAACCCGTTCAGTACGGTATGGATGGACAGGCAGTAAATGTTGAATGTATTATCGACTCAATACCGACGCCAACAAAGATTTTATGGTTTCAT